ATGTCTCCGAATGCGAGAGATCTTCAACTTTTGATAAGTTTCCTAAATTCTGCGTTAAATAAAAGATGCTTATTGCGCAATTATTAAGAGTAATTATGAAGCAAAATATTATTTGACAAAAGTTATTTTGGAAGATTCTGATTTTTGCGAATTTTTATTATTTTTCATTATCTTATAAATCTATTTTTTTAACTATAAGTATATTCTACATTTTTCCTCGTTCGCAGCAATCATGTTTATATCCTTATCATTATTATTCAAAAGGTTAATTTTACTACACTTGAAATATAAATTACGTCAGATACGAATGAATGATTATAGAGGCTAATGAATTTTTAATGCAGACGAGCTAAATATGATCGCAAATAAAAAGGATTGCATCCTCCACTCGTCGCGTGAGAAATTTCTCCGATCGCGAGTTAACTCGCCATGCGCGGTGATTTCAGAGGCGTGGGTGTCGATCGCGCGTGGGAAAAAAATTCACGATTTCCACCTGTAAATTTTCCCCGAATTAAAACTGTGAGGAGAAATCGTTAGTTATAATTAAATAAATAAATATATGTAGGTATATATGTATATGCATAAAGTATTTTGATATTTCCATATCTAGATTCCATAGAACGTGCAATTTTCTCGTCCGTTCTCACTGCACTCGACGTTTTAGTATGTAATCACACAAAGGTCAAAATCATGTTCGGTATGATCTTAGATCGCTGCTGCTGGCCCTCATTACGACTAATTGAAATGTTTTTCCTGATTGACACTCTTACATCCGCACTTTTGTACGCTTCTCGATCTGACCGCGAATCGTGTAAATAAGTCCCGCGACGTTGTAATTATTCATGAATGAAATTCGCTTCTCGTGAAGTTAACCTTTCGCTTAGTATTTAGTTCTTGAATGAAGGGGCTCGACACAACCACAGAAAAGGTCGTGATCGCTCTGCCCGCGCGACCTTCGCTTGTCTCGTCGTTACTGCCAGATAAGTCGTTAAAGGGATACTCTCGTCTCGACTCTTACAGTCTCGACAGAACAGGAAAATCGGTTTCTAAACGACGGAGCAGCTATCTATTAAAAAGAAAATAGTTTTGTCAGAAATTAAAGCACTTTCGCTTTATCACAAATTTTTAATTAATTTTGATCGATCTTTCGGCGACACGGTTTTTTTTGCAATCAGGATGCGTCTCTTTCGTCGTCGAATGCATTGAAATTTTATGACAAAAATCGATCCAACGTAATAAACGCTTCATTACTACCAGTTCCTATCGACTCCATTAACATGACTATGGCAAGACTGCTATTATTTTATCGGCTTATCGACGAATATGCAAAATAGCCTTTGCTTCGTGAAACGCTATGTACAAATTGGTCGTATGAGTTATTCAGAATTTCGACACACTTGTGGGTTTGCATATACGCGATATTAACAATAAGTGTTGGCTATCTCTCATAACTTCAACTTTATGGCTGATCGGTTTACACTACGCTTGAAAAAGCAGACATTTCCTAAAAAGTATTTTCAGCGCTGATATAAATTTGTCTGTTCGCTTGGCAAAAAAGAATCTAACATAAACCATTACCACCTTCTCCTGGAAAAATTTTATTAACGGTGTATATCACTCGCAAAGGTTTATTGCAACGTATCTACACCTGCGTATTAAGATTAGCTGGCAACCTTGGAGATTAGAATAATTCGCTTTCCGTCTCGTCCATGAACTATAAATTTTATAATTCCGTCACGAGATCGTCTTTCAGAAAGATTTCGTAGATTTCATGAATTTCTAAGAATTTAAATACAAATTTGATTCTTATTAACACATCCGCGATGAATGTTTGGCGTCTCCTATCTTGATCAAAGGCGATACTTGCGTTCCTGAGGAGCGTAAATGTTTAAGGATTTCCAAATTCATTTTCGGATGCATAAATTCTTTCTTTATTAAATCGAATTACATAAAAAATAAAATAAAAACAAGAAAAAAATACATATATGTATATTAAAATGTACATATATGTATATTAAAAAGATTTAAAGAATATTGTGAAGAGAACAAAAATAAAACTAAAAATTGAGTTTGATACAACGAATATTGAAGCATTATCATATGCATTTGCATTTAAATTGTTCGTATATTACCTTCCACATTCTTAAAGTCATGGAATTCGGAAATCCCGAAGGACGTGGCCAGTTCGTTACCAATGCATCTCTTTCAGACTTCTGAAAAAATATAAAGTCTCTAACTAAATATAGCAGTGCTGTAAATTAATTAAATCTTACAACAGGATAGCATTAAGTTTATATGTATATGTTTTTCAGTCCCCGTCTGAAACGTCTGCAAAATTTTATTTTCTTCATCTTTATTTACTCATTCCACGTAGAACATTTTATATAATATAATAATTATGACGTTAAATGATTAAGATCTCGTATTGGCGAAAGGAATAGGAACTTATATTCGAGAAAGAAACTTTAAAACGCCACTACCCTCATCGTCAGCCGCTATTACGTATTACTTATGGTAATAAGCGTTATGAAGTAACAAATTTTTGCTACATTCAGCGCCTTTTCTATTTAATGTATTAACTGCGTAAAATGTTCGCATAATATTTCCCAATTCATTAGGAATGCTCGCGGCAGTAGCATTTCGTTGTTGTTGGATTTCAGATTCTCTTCGGAACCTTTCGTTGAAGATACACACAGTCGAGGCACTCGCATTATTATTTCTTGAAAACTTGTTAATTCTGTTGCGCTTCGAGGAGCGATATAAACACGTTGCATGAAAATGAGATCTGAAACGTTCTTACATCGCATATTAGGTTGATTGTGCGTAATGAGAGTGTAAAAATTAATTATAATATCAGCCAAAAGTATGGTGTTGTTAGCAAATTACAATAAGATAATAATATGTTTATTAACTTCAGCTACAGCTAAGAAGTGGAGCAAATTACAATAAGATGAACAGATAACAAGTTTGAAAGTTACATTATTATCAGTCATATTTTAGTCTATTAAAATTCTGTCTAAAAATTTGTGGAATTTTTTTTCATTTACAAATGTGATAATTTCCGTCTGATTTACCCGATAATATACTACGGTTAATGGCGATTTATTGAAGACGCTTTATACTCGTGGCCGAGATTGTAGCTCCCATTTCTTTTGAGTGATGCACCAGAATCATTCAGCGCATTCTTCGGCAAACACGCAATTAGATAACATGAGCGGAAGCTTGCTGGTATTTTTTTTTCTTGTTAATTATGCTCGATCATTTACTTACCTACCGGATTTCCCGAGAAATTTACAGCTTAAATCTAAGCAATTAACTTTCCGTCAAATTTATCGCGATTTCTTTATATCATTAGAAATTTCTTTAACTGCGAATCCTTTAAAAAGTTTAAAACAACTTTGTTCAGTAATGTTCGGTATTGCGAGGAGCAAAATGATAGCAATAATGCACTCATGGCCTCGTGGACAAAATTTTCGCCATTTAAATGTCACGAGGGCGCCGAAGCTGTTTGTGGTAGGCGACTCGTTAACCGCTGTAATAACCACCATCGACGTGCCGTGTATCACATATGTTTTACTTATCTTCATATCTCCATAAATTATCCATCAAGGTCACTTTATGAATTCTATGGAATACACGAAGGTATGCCTCATTGATTGAGCTCTTATTGGTTACTCCAAAGAAAATATTGACAAACATTGCGAGATCAATTTACTGCAAAAAGTGAAACTCGATAAATTATTTATCTAAGATTACATAAAATCATAATTGCCAAAATCAATAAGAGTATATAGTCTATTCTTCTTTTAGACTAATAAATGTATATATAAGTTACATGATTGAAAATATTTCTACGGCATTGCGATCGAATAAACTCGTTCTTTCAAGACGGGAGATTTCGTTTTTTTATAGTTGAAATTCGGTAACCTTCGCTACGGCCTTGAGGTAGAATGGAGAATGTTATAAGTCACTTCTCACGATTAGAATATCGCTCGACCAACACTTGGCTTTTAATTCCCGGAATAATATCATCCATTACATGCATTTATGGGCTAAATCTTGAATTTATCAGTTGTTCCCAGAAGCTATAGTTGCATAAATTATTAGCCAAACTGCTACATTATTAATGGAACCGTTATTTTTATTGTCAAGCAACAATTCCGTGTTGATTACAATTAAAAATAATTACTATTTAATTATTTATTATTGATTATTTCTTTATAAAACAATCTTCGCTGACCTTTTCATGTCGTGTGCATGAAAAATAATTAATTCTACAATATTCTCAAATAATCTACTTACTATTTTATTATTATAATCATCAATTATCAGTTTTACTTATCTCTATATTAGTAATCCCATAATCCATAATAACATTTCGTAATATCGTTCTCATACGTAAAAATATGAATCGTCAAACGAAAAATGTAAAGATAATTCGACACGAATTTACGTTTCGTATGAAATATCAAAGGTACTGAAAGAGCAGCCGCAGGCATGATGAGGCGTGCGATGTTACACGGTCAGTCCTCGGCTGTCGTAAGCGTGACGTAAGAAGAAGAAGAAGAAGAAGAAGATAAAGAAAAGAAGACAGGTGTGACGACCGCAGCCTGTAATAAGAAGACAAAGAGCTTTGTACCGTGAGCATCTTGCCTCTATGCGTAGGCGGATATGCGTTCTTCCTCTTCGAGAGTACTCGGAACTTCATACTCGCATTATAGTCGCACCTGTCGTATTTTGCATAAACATTTGCAAGGATGATCTGCTCGGCTGACGAAAAACTTTGCCCTTCGCATTTTCAAAAACAAAGAAGCAGATCATTGAATTGAATTTTCTTTAGTTATCATATCGAGTTACTTATTTATTTGTTTTATCAGTAATATTAAAGTTTTTATGACAATAATAATTGCTGATAAAGCTCATTACCATTTTAAATCTCTGAAAACGACAACGGTAAGATTTAATCTTTTTAATAATGCACAATTTATTTCTTTAAATATATATATATATTTTTTTACCTGATAGAATTATATTTATAACATATAAATATACTTTGCAACACTGTAATTTTATAAATTCTGTAAGAAACTTTGTCATTAGTTTTTTAGAACTTTGTAGTAAACATATTGCGTGCACAATTTGACACAAGCGTTACATGAATAAATATGTTCTTCGCGATGTTGGATCAATCTTGGCGACAAAAAAAATAGAGAGAAAACGACGTAAATCAATTAAACGCACTCTTCAGATGGTATTTCAGAGAAAATCCAGAAGAAGGCCGTTGTTTTGTGTCCACCTTAATGGTAACCGTAATGACCGTAATGACCATAGCCACCGTAGTACGGAAATCCTACAATGAAACAACAATGAAGAAATACTTTAATATTTTTGTATGAACGATCTGTTTGTTCGGAAAACGCGAATGTGCGTGTGTATATCTGAACGTGAACGATTTCTTTGTATGAAGACAAATTATCATACATATGTGAGCTGTTTGCATAGTTTGCGTGATATAAACTTGTATAATAAAAAATTGTCCTAGACATTTTTATTCAAAATCTATGTATTATTTTGCCGTAAATAACTAATTTATTCTACTTTCCAACCAGATAAACTATACTTTTGCAAAGAAATATAATTAATTTGTCACAATAAATTGTTTAAAATCGGATTAAAATTTTTTGATTTTATAATAAATAAATTAAATAATTTAAATTAATACAATTAAATAAAATAAATTAAACATATTTTATTATAAATCCTACCGTAGCCAAATCCATGTCCATATCCATGTCCATATCCGTGTCCATATCCGCCATAGCCGCCATAAAATGGGAATCTATATCCATAGGCATACGGATAGTAACCACCATATCCATAGCCTAAGTATCCCGGTTTTGCAACTGCCACACCGATTGCAACGGCTAAGAGCAGAACAAGGTACTGCAACAGTAAAGCGAACAGCAGATTAGACTCATTAAAAAAAATTTCAAGAACCTAGTGCAGCTTAAATGTACCTTGAAGAAAATTAAAATCAGGAAAACGGAATTTACATGAGCAAAATCCTTATTTTTTTCCTCTGCAATTACATTGACGAGATATAATACAAATAAACTTTAAAATAATCTTTTTGATGATTTATCTACGGATTAAAACATAAGAAATTAAAAAATTAAAAGGGTTAAGTGTTAATTTTACACATTCCATTAACTAAATATCTTGTATAATCTTGTAAAAAATTTATAATGATTAGGAAATAGATAGTTGCAAGAAATACGATAATCACGCAATGAGATTATCATTTTTCACATGTACCTATCCTCTTAGATTTTACTCATGTGTGTTGTAATAAAATAAAGCAAATATCACTTTAATGACTGACATTTCACAATATCAAAATTTCATAATAATGTCATGTAAATGTAAAATAACATAGTATTTTTACAAAAATATTAATTTAATTATAAGAAGTATTTTCTATTTATATTGTAATATTTCATCGTCGGTGAGAGAACAACGTCGCAGTAAATTAAATTACCACGATATTTAATTTCTACAAGAATTTGGATTTAAGTTCTCGTCGCACTTACAATCTTCAGGCACGCCATTCTTTCTCGTATTTGCAATTGTTGTTTGTGGTCCGACTGACGTCTCGTTAACAATCGCACCGATTTTTTCTCATCTGTCGTTGTCGAACACCACTGTCCATCGTTTCTGCGACACTGGTGCTTTTATAAGTAAGGCGGGGTCCCTTCGTGAGGCGGTGGACCCCCCACGAGTGGTACGCTTTTCCGGGGCCTGGTACTGGCCTCCGCCTGTTGTGCTAATAGAAAACTTCATTGTTACCCTGGGATTATGCGAGTTGCGATTTTGCATTATGAAAGAAACGCGACGGGGCGATGTGCGGTAAACGCACGCGTGTGACGGGGTCACACATTAGTCCACGCCCGATGGGCGCCTTGACATCCAAATTTCTTCTTTTTCCGACGCGATTGCTCGCGTGTGTCCGCGACGCCGTAAACCCCATATTACGGCGGGAAAGAATCATACGTCGCAACCACCGGTTGCGATACTTAATGCCGCTGCTGTAATCGCTAATCGCTTATCGCCGGCAATAATTCCCGGGCCCGCCGATGAATCCCAGCAGCAAGCCGGCTCCAAAGAGAAGGAAACGCTCTTCTCCGAGTATCGTAACCGAAACAGAAAGAAGTGACAGACGACGCTTACGCCGGTAGATGATTACGTAAACCGGGATTCTGTTACAAAATGTGAAATTATGTTGATAGACTACGCCCGCGCGCTTGATATATGCGTGTCCGATTTGTCAATTGCGTGGCGACATTCCTAGTGACGTCCGTTCCTCTTCGGTCTGCGAGAAAGGAAGGATAATTTAGATATTAAAATTGAAGAGGGTCTAGATAGAGAAATTTATTACCTATAATGTGCACTGATTAAATAGAGATGCCGGACTATAACTAAAAGAACCGATCATTAGTCTCCTGATACTCCTGAATTTTGAAAATTAAATATGATAATAAATTGAGTATTAGTGTAGAACGATCATTAATAAAATGACGCCCAATTACAATGATATATTGCTCCTTATAGGATACAAGATATATGAGTTTGCCAATCCAACATGTAACAGAATTAATTAATTCCCCAGAGTCTTAATTCCTCGAGAACCTTATCTTTCTCTCACAACCAGGTATTTCAATCTATTTTTATCAAATGCGACGAGTATCTTTTGACCCGCCTTATCAATCATGTCTCAGCAGAACGCATGTAATACATAGTTTGCACAATCACAGGTTTGCATAATAATCACGTGGTTAACAGAAGATGTTGATGTATTACATTGGCTAATTCTAAGTTTCATTCTTTTATAGAAAGTTATCTAAATCTAAATATTCCAAGTATAAGCTCACATATTTTATAAGTATAGTATAGTAAGTGTAATAAGTAACGACTGATAAATCGTTAAAAATTTTATAAACAATTGTACTATTACTTTTCAACTTTTTCAATTGCTACTTCAATCCCTACAGAATTTACAAGAATGATATTAATAACTACAGTTCGCACTTCCGCACAATCGAAACACCATCGATATGAATATTCCACGATTATCTTCGTTTTTATCGGAATATGATTTTCTTTGTTACATTTACCTTCACGGTCGATTATCCACGTTTTCCACCGTGTTGATTTATTTTTCCGTTCCCAGCAAACGAGATCGGATCTACAATCGATATTCAGAACAACAAAGGCTTTTCTGCGTGTTACGTAAATTGTTACGCATTTTTACCTTGAATCATGTATCATAATAATCTATTTTTATAAACCTTTTTATAAACCTATAAATCTTATGGAAATTATAAAAAATATTTATTTAAACCAAGATAAGTTTTAATTTAAAAATAATTATTATAATAAACAGTTAATATATCAAACTATACAAATATGTAACACGCTATAATAAATTAAATTTGATTATCGTATATATTTTGGTTAAGACTTATGTGTCTCAATTTGGAGTAAAGGAAGATTCTGTTATTTTTTCATATAAGTCAACTATATGTCTACGTCTTGTTAACAGTTCTTTTTTCACGCAAGAAAACGGATACTACTAATTGCATGAAAATTAAATGTTTTTAACTTTGCGTGCCTTGCATAATCGCGTTTCATATCGTCATTGACGCAGCAGACGCGACGTATATGCAAAATCGTATGGAGGCCACGAAAATTACTGGACCATGCACGCTCCATGCATTATTGTTACAGACAAAGAATAATAGTGTAGATAAAGGCTAACGGCAATAATCATGAGAACATATTCTATATCATAAATCTTGAGAACGTTGTAATGGAGACTAATAATAAATACGAATGTACGCGTGTCGCGCAGCGTCTGTAATTTAGTGCGCATGTTAATTATCGACCTATCTACGGTCAAATAATGCCGCATCTGCAACATAGAATTTATAACACCTTCCTGCATGTACTATCAGTTTTATAATTTATTTTTAATGGAATACATAGTTAATAACAATCAGTATTTAAATAATATTAAGTAACGTATATGTTTCTTTTTAAACTTAAAAGAAAAAGATTTCTACCTAAGCTATTTTTGAAATATATAAATATTTTATCAATCTTAACATTTTCTTGTAAATTTTGAGTCTTGAAGTTTTCGTTTACATTTAAAATTATATAGTTTGTTATTTCTTTTAATTTATTACTTCTTAAATTGTTAATATTTCAGAAGTCAGACTCTTCGACTCTGAAAATTAACAAGATTGATCCGCTTCAGCTCCTTTCGTCCCGATGTCTTGTATCGATTCGAACTTGGAGCTTGCGCTATCTCTTCGTTGTTGAGCGCAGTGATTCGTTCGGGATTCTCATTCTCCGAGAGTTCAGCTGGTGCTTCTGTTGACTCGGCCGATCCACCTGAATCGGCGGGTTTGCCTTTCGGTGGTAGATATTTCTTACCCGGAAGGAAAGGACCGTAAGGCTGATGAAACGAGAATCCAAAATAGGGATCGGCATATATGGGATAGCCAGCGTGGCCAACTCCGACTACAGGGCCACCCTTTAACGCCCCATGAAAATGGTCGTAGGGCAGAAGACTGAATGGGGGGAAACCGTGGAGGGGAATAGTCCCCAGTAGTGGCTTGACCCAAGGGGGCCCATAAGGAGGCGAGTATCCGTTTTTTGTCGTGTTATTCTGATCGCCATTGTCGGTCGGTTCTTCGGTTTGTCTGCTATTAGTATTGCCATTAGTATTGCCATTAGTATTGCCATTATTGTTGCCATTATTGTTACCATTATGGCCACGATTGTAACCATAACCGGGCGGTCCGTAAAAATCGCCATAAGGTCCGCCGTAAGGTCCGCCGTAAGGTCCACCGTAAGGTCCGCCGTAAGGTCCGTGATGATATCCGTTGTGTCCATTTCCATAAGAGTTATTTCCGTTTCTCTGATAGGGTGGTCCGTAAAAGTCACGGTTACCGTATCCTCCATGAGGAAATGGAGAATAGGGATGACCGAAATACGGCGAGCCGTAACCTCGGTAGTTGGTCCCGTTGTTTTCCTCCGAGCTTGCCTCTTCCGAAGAACCACCTCCATACGGATGATGATGGTGTCCGTAGTGTCCGTACGGTCCGAAACCATGAAAGCCTCCATAAGGTTTATCCAAAAAGGGTCCGTGGGGGAAGGCTGCCTTAGGAAAACCGGCGCCATGATAAGAAGAATGTAGATTGGTGGACGACTCCTGGATATTACCGATCGACGAGTCGATATTATCGTTGGGTTTCGGACTCGCATCAAAATTGTCATTGTTTGCTGAATAATCGTAAGGTTTGTAAAAGTTTGGCTGTTCCTGACGTAAGTAGGAATCATCTCGTAGGGATTCATCGAGTCGTTCGTTTGTTTCAGATCCTTCTAATTTCTCGGAAGAATCCTCGTAAGGCCCATTGAAAGGATAAGAGCGTGGTTCGTAATAGGTGGCTGCGTTTGACGTTTTATCGACTATGTTATCCAGAATTGAGTATGAATTCAAATCGTCGTTATTCAGATTGGTAGATTCCGTCAAGGGTGATTGGAAGAACGAACGATTATTGCGGGATTGCACCTCGCCCAAGATGGCCGGCGACAGCACTGAAGCTACATTTTTAGCGAAGTTTGCTAGGATATCCGGACCTGCATTGAAAAAAAAAAACAATTTATTAAAAATAAAGTTCTGAATTTAAAGTGAAATTTTCCTTCCTTCGTTAAGTCTTATAATATTAATAATCTTTACAGTTTTATAAAAAAACTTTCCAATCGTAAACTGTTTTATTTATTGATCAATAATTTACATAATTGCATTTGTTTATGTATCTTTTTGTTCGGATTTTTTAATTCGTATAATAATAATTATGAAAACATATTGTATTGACAAATCCACCTATCAATTGTCTTTTTACTATTA